GAAGTGGGTCGCCGCAGCTCGCTTCGTATTTTTTGGCGGCGATTTTTAATTAGTCGTCGAGATCGACGCGCCTTGGGCAAGCGACAATTTTTTCAGAGGTGTTCGCGGGATAATAGTTAGTGATTGTCTAGAGTAAGTTATTCTTTTTGTTGAGTTACTTTATTTTATATCTTTGCATATTTTGATCGCGATCTATTTTGGTTTTTGTTGGTTATTTATTTATTTTAATCACTTACAACGGAACCCTGCACTAAACAGCATATAGAAATGGGCTTATAACATGCTTTAATAAATATCAAGTATTTCGCTGCTATTTAAATGAATAAAATTGAATGAAAAAAATATTTAATCATAATTAATAAATAAATAAAAAGTTAAATGATAATTGTATTTTGGTAATTGATGTATTTGTGGTGCCAAAGTGGTCATGCAGAATGTTAAATCACTGGGCTCCTATCCAATATCCTTAGCGGGACTGCTTATTCGTAAACTATACTGGGTGTCCTATAACTTCTGTACCACAGGTAATGCTATAAATTATAATAAGATTTCTTGAATGGACGGAGAACTTACATTTCACAAATAACAACAACAGAATCAATAATAGTAATAATCAAAAATTTAAAACTCGTTCCGAAATATAATTTAAACATTTACAACTTGTGTATCTTTAACTATAAACATTTATCATAGAATTGAATTTTGTCATACATACATACATATATAAATTAACACTTCTGCGGATCCCTTATTTTAATATTTAATTTGGTTGGTCTTTAGATTATTACATTTCAATGTAGTTGGTACAAATAAAAAATTACTAAAATGAACGCGCTAAGTACGTACTAATAAAAATGTCGATTAAACTACTTGCAGAAAGGGCTCAAAATGCCGCTTTTACTCTACGCGCAACTCAAGCCGATGTGGGCTAGAACGACTCAAATGAACTAAATACTTTATGTTTGACTTATTTATATTTATGTATTCAAATTATAGTAAAACGGTTTACGCAAATGTGTTTCGATCACATGACAACACTGTGCATTTAATAGTTTCACAGTGAGATATCCGAGAGTGACGACAGTCGTCCTGCTCTATCGGATATGGTTGCGAAATATTCTTTTCGATAAAATTAGACTATACACAATGTAGATTGGGCATCAGGGCGGATTCCAGATTTACTTCTTGGATTATATAATGTTATGTAGATATAGATAGTGTGTCTACGTTAAGAACTCTCCTAATTGCTCATTCGACAAAGGAAAATATTTTCCACTTCAGCCATGGCCGGTTGCAACCATTTTTATTGTGTCCAATGTCAAAAATGAATGCAATTATGTTTTATATCCTTTACTTCAAATTACAAGTTGTCTGAATAAATTATAAAATAAAAATGGTATTTTTTAGTGATAAAGGATTTTTTAAAATTTGGCACATTTTTAGATCCATTGTCAATATTACAGGTACTTTTAACACCTAATCTCAAGTATTAAAAAATAAGCTAATGGTGCTATGCTGTATAATTCTGTTAATTGGTTAGTGTCTGTTAGTTTTGTTTAGGTTACAATATTGACTTCTGGTATATATTTGTTTAATAAAAGATACTTCATCATAAGTTTTTTTAATATTAGTAAATATGATGAAGTGGGCGCTAAGCTTCACTTTTAATTTATTAATTATTATTAATTACCTCCATAAGTCTTATAGAGACTTAAGAGCACTTTCATTTTATGTAGTTCAACTCAATTTCAAATTTTATATAAAACAATCTCACTCAATTCAACAGGTACACTGCACCCTAACGGTAATTAAATTCAGCACGGTTAGAAATTTTCCTTAAAAAAAAAACAGCGCCGGAAAACAAACGAACTTCATTTTCGGTATCGGTTGCTCTTATCGCCACGATGACATTTTCCGATGACGTTTCCAAAGTCGACGACGGCGGTATACACTTTATACGCGCGAAGCGAGATGAAATTTTGAATAGTAAAACTTCTTCTCGGCTTAATAAAGTTTATAATGAACCCCGGGCCTGGCGACAAAAGGCGCTGGAATGAGACAATGAATCAAATTTTCACGAGGTTGTCAATCACGCTTCGAAGTTAATTATATTCGCGGGTGGCGCGGGTACGGTAGGCGCAGGCGGCTGACGGAATCGAGAAAAGACGAAGGGCGGGAAGATAAGGACTCTTTCGGGACGCTAATGATTTACAAGTTTTTTGTGGTATCTTCTTGTATTCAATTTAGTTGATTCGATATTAAGGGAGCCGAGGGGCCAACAAGTTGTCACGTAGTGATTGTAGCGTATTTGTTTGGGGGCACGATGCTGCTGCTAAACTTTGGGCCAGCTTTAAAGTTAATCATGCGAGGTTCTCAAAAAAATCTGGAAAAGCTGAGCCTGGAAAAGTTATGGTAATCTTACTAAGCGGTTACAGAGAGTCAGAGAGTGTGTTTTTTACTTTGCAGGGTAGGGATTATTCTGTTTTCAAAAACAGGGATCGTCTATTGGTAATTAATATGTGCGTATAGTGGTAGTTTTCTTCTTCTATTCGGTTTTGTTATCTTCCAGTACTTTATCAGTTTAAATAACTTTTTCTACTCACCACTTTAAAATACTCAATTATGCACGATCTGTGTGGAAGTGTCACTTAAAGACGAGAGCGTTTATCAAACTTATTGAATAATCTACTATTTGAGGCCACTTATGTATTACTTATTTTATTGGACTTGTTATTTGTCTTTTATAATGTAAAGGAAGCATTTATTTGGAACCTATTCTTAAATTTCAAATTTAAGTTTGCTTTTTTTTTTGTTTGAAACAAGGCCGAATAATATTCGAACTGTTATTAATTAGGTAAGTCATTTTTGTAAATAAAAAGTTATTTTAAAAAGTAGTTAACCTAAAAAGCGTACAAATAATTATAAAGTTGTAAACATTACTTGTTATTTTAAATAAAAATGAAGTTTCGAATGTTGCATTTGCATCCTGTAGCAGACGGATTTTCCTATTCACGAACTCAAACTCAAAATAACTCCCGGTCGGTGACGTAAGATAATATAGATAATAAAGCGTTTACACGGGATTAAAATCTTTTCGAAAAATTCTGAAGCTCATGTAAATAAGAAAATTGACTTTTTTCCCGAAAAATGCCTCAATTGAGCGGTTTCCTTGTTTCCGCGTTTTTAAATGATCTTCCTATCTTGTCGATGGTAGATCGAATGTTAAGGTTGATCGGCGAAATGAAACCCAAATTACATCCGACGTGGTCAACAGGTTTTGATATGATAAATAAATACTCGTAATAACAGTCTATATCATTACCTATGTCTAACATAGGGAAATACGGTAACGGGCTTTTTACGGCGATAGCAGGAAATTGATATGGAACGTTTAATAACGTCATTTATCAGCTAATTAGTTTCATGAAATAGGTACCGATGCAGGACGCCGTGACGGCAAAATAACGGGTCCTCAATTGCCTATAAGTTATGGACTCTTTTTTTTTCTATAATTACAACTAAATGGATACTTCAATGGGCACGCGGGTTTGGTGTTAGTCTTATCCGTGCAGGCCCAATTTTCTACCCGTATTCCAACTGTTATACGACGAGTATTTGTCATTCGCGACCGCGACAAATTTCACATCATCGATTTCGTTTTGAAAATATTCGGAAAGTGTTACGCGCATTATTATCTGCACGGAAAACGGCACAAGGAACAAAGCAACGGGGCTTGTTGCAAAGCAAGCAAACTGGACCCATCAATTACAATATGACCGGCAAAAAGGCAACACCTGGTACGCGGTGGACGTATGAAAAACGTGATAGTTCAAGGCGAACATGCAGATGTCACTGCAGTGAGTGATTTAATGTTTCTGCCGCAATAAATTAATCTTTATTAATGCTAGTTTTAATAAAGGCAGTGGCAGTACGTAATTTACTGCCGGGGCCGGGGTTAAAGCTGTTATTATTACGATGGCTTAAAAATATGCATTGTTCGTCTCGCCGCGGTGATTTGTAGGCATCGGGGAGATAAGGCGACTGTCGGCGTTAATCAAAGTTTTCCTAGTAAGTATAGATGTGCGCGTATTCCATTGAGGAAGTGAACTATATACTCGCGTTTACATCTTGCTTAAGTTATTACACGCCGTTACCGTACTACCGGAGTTTAGATTGCGGTCTATGTAGTAGATCATGATCTACATTGAAATAAGGTCTGCTATATTTTTAGTAAATGAGAGCTATGCTCAGTGTATCGCCAGTTTGACAATTTGTCAAACGGCTAATTCGAAATCAACAGGCAACTGCAACACTAATAGTCCATTAATAATTAAATAACTGTTATGGAATAATATATAATAATTGTTATCTTGGGAGTTACCTTTAATATTTTAGGCATCGGTTAACTTTGATAACGAAAAATTATATAAGAGTATATACAGTGAACGGGAGATACAAAAATTTTAGTAATTTTCTAACTTTTCTTATATATTTTCTCGAAAAATTTGGGAAAGCTGGGGAGTCTTTTTCTTTAAAACTGGCTAACCAAAACTAGTTCATGTAAAGGAAATGGACCGATTATTTAACATAGAGTCTATCCAAATGTAAAAAAATGAGAGAAGCTGTTCTCTTTTTATTGAAGACCTCTGATAATGTCATAACCAAACTCCAGCTTTATAACTTTTAATCTTCTCCTGAAGATGCCAACTTGGGTGGCGAAACGCGCGTCGAGTACGTTTGAGTTTCGGTTTGTGGTAAAACGCGTTATTGTGTGTTAGTACAGTGCCGAAGGTTCCAGTCAAGTGTTTGATCAAGCTTTATATATTACACCCAGCATCATAAGCAAATTGGACTTTTCGTTGTCCCACTTTATCTGATGTGCAGTTTATGTTTTTATGTTATGTTATGTTCTTACGTCCAAGGTTCCTTGTTTATGGCGAACATTAATATTTTTGTCGGTAGTTATCGCACGGTAGACAATAATTTTTTGATTGTTGCAGGGGAAGGAGGTGAAGAGGGATCGCCGGAAGAAGGTGAGAAGCTCGAAGGCGAAGAAGACGGAGGATCGATGACGCCTACTTCTTCGTCGCCGGTTCCTCCCGAGGACGAGGCTCTTTCGCCGCCCCCGGGTGACGTGCCATCCCCAACTAGTCCTAGATCGGTCAACGAAGATTCCACCCACATCAGGTAGGCATTAGGTCGTGCTTGCGATTTTAATTTATGTTTTACCAATGTTTACAAAGTTTTTAATCATTTTTTTAAAGATGGTATACATAGTTATAGAATATTTCTAAAAAAGATTTTATAATTATATAACAATTAAACTTGAACACATTCGCATTTGGAAGAGAGAATATTCGCATTTTTGCTTAATGGTAGAGATTTAAAACAATTTAAACAACTTTTTTTTGGAAATATAATTATTTATTCCATTTTAACGACTCTTCTTACAGTTTCCAATATTCCTATATACATAATTTTATACACATAAGTTTTATAGTACAACTAAGAGAAAAAAGTTTCTCCGATGGTTTAATGCAGTTTATGTTAGTTTAATTCAAAACAAAAGTGGGATGAACAAACTAGATTTACCAAATTTGTTTCTATCAAATAATCTTGAAAATTGGCAAATCTTTTTTTGGTTAGCTAGCCAATTTTACTTTATTATTTCGGTTGTGAATACAAATCTTACTTCTAATTTACTTATACTCATAAAATCTGCAACACCAATTAAATAGAAGTACCACAATCTCACATTACTCTTTACACTTTTACTAGAAGTGGTGTGACTCAGCTGTTTTAAGCAAATTAAAGTCACTTTTCATCTCAATAGTGTTCAGATGATATGTGGTCTTATTAGATTTTGGTATTATAGTTTGTTAGTTTAACTCACACGACACCTTCACCACTCAGCTTAATATGGGCAATTCGCATCCTAGAAATAAAAAACGTGAATTTGCAAATCTGGAAACTATCAAATGTTCACAAAATTCCGTATTTGTTTTTCTAAATTTACTTTATATAGACAAAAACTTAAAGTTAATACATTCAAAAGGTATTTACTGCCTTAAGATAATTAGATTTTTTTTACTTAAACTGGAGTAATAGGATTGAACGTTTATTCATCCAATTAAACTTGTGAAGCGCGTCAAAATGTAGAAGCATGCTGTTGGAAATACATGCTTTAAAATGGTATATTGCAGTCGTATGTTGTCGTCATTATGTGTGCATTATGTATCGTAACACACATCACTTTTTTAAAATATTTTATCGAATTTTCCAAAATATAATTATTGTGTTGTGTTGGTTGTGTTTTGACATATCATTTTTTTTGTTTCAGGGAGTCTACTTCCAGATGTGACTCGCGAGATTCGGGCGAGTCTCAGCCGATGCTTCGCTGCCCGTCAAGCGAAAGCGACCGATTGTTAGCCGAACGTGCGGCCCTTCTTCAAGGCGTACCTTTGGGTACTGCTCTTAGTCCGGTCGGCGTGACGTTACCTCCGACGTTACCCGCGGCCGCTTCTCTGCTCCCGCCCCAATCTGCGGCAATGGCCGCGTATCTTAGCGCCGCAGCTGCCGCGGCGGTTCAATCTCACAGGTTGATGATGACGTCACCGCTTCCTCCCGGTTTCCCCAGGGCGCCGGTATCTCCTCTGATCTCTTCTTCATCATCGCCCCCCGGCGTGTTAAACCCACCTTCAATGGAACTGTCGCCTACCGCGGACGTTTTGGACTTTAGCAGACGAAACAAAAGCGACGACAGTGATTCCGACGCGGTGAATTTGAGTAAGCCCGAAACCCCACCCGGTGGCGAAACGGGTAATGCTCCACTAGATTTGTCAGTCAGCAGCAGAAAGCGGATATCTGAAGAACCTCTCATCCAACCGCCGCAGCGCAAACAGAGAACCGAGTTTAAGCCGGAATATAAACCTAGTATACCCCAGTGGCCCGCGGGATTGGGTCCATCACACTTGCCGTACTTTGCGGCAGCGGTGGCAGCCGCAGGTCTTTCGCCCAAAAACACTCCAGCTGAGCTCTGGAACGGTAAGCTAAAGCACGCTGCTCCGATGCCTAGTGATGCGACCAAGGCTTTGGAGAAGATGAGCGAGCTTAGCAAATTAGGTGGCGAAGACCTCTTCAGGACGATGGCCAACACGGTGCCGGGTAACTCTTCGGGTAACAGACACAGCGCGTGGCAGAGCCATTGGTTAAACAAAGGGGCAGAGCAAGCCAAAGATGTTTTGAAATGCGTGTGGTGCAAACAGAGTTTTCCAAGTTTGGCTGCACTGACTACCCACATGAAAGAGGCGAAACACTGTGGGGTGAATGTGCCCGTTCCTTCCATGCAACCGAATAATTTACCTCCTCAGTCGCAGATGACTTCGCCTTCGCATAGTAATTCTAGCACCTCTTCAAATCCAGGAAAACCGCAGTCCTCAGACCTCAATATGTTAATCAAAGAGACGATGCCATTGCCGAGGAAGTTAGTACGAGGTCAAGACGTGTGGCTGGGTAAAGGTGCAGAACAAACCCGACAAATTTTAAAGTGCATGTGGTGCGGACAGAGTTTCAGATCTTTAGCGGAAATGACCAGTCACATGCAGCAGACCCAACATTATACGAACATAATCTCGCAAGAACAGATAATTTCGTGGAGGTCGTCAGATGACGGCAAAGGTGGAAGTCGGGGAGATGGCGGTGGCTCAAGCGCTACAACACCGCCAGGTGGAGCCAGTAGCCACGTGAGTGCCGTTCTTACCTGCAAAGTGTGCGATCAAGCGTTTAATTCTATGAAAGAACTGACGAATCACATGATGAAAAATTCCCATTACAAAGAGCATTTGATGCGATCGATTACAGAAAGCGGTGGTCGCAGAAGGCAGACGAGGGAGAAACGCAAGAAATCTCTGCCGGTGAGGAAGCTGTTGGAGCTGGAACGTGCTCAGCATGATTTTAAAAACGGAGACAGTGGGAATATTATCGACAAAATACGTGATCACACCGGCGCGGGAAGAATAACGTGCGAAAAATGTGGAAATAAAATAGAAACGTCCATGTTTGTGGATCACATCCGCCAGTGTGTCGGCGGGATGACTAGCAATCAGAGAAATTTCCTTAAAAGTGCGCTGATGTCGAACAACATTTTACCTCCAGAAAGTCCTAATCGGGACAAAATGAAAACACCTTCGGATAAGTCACCATCGCCGCAGCAGAGATCACCTTCAGTTTCGGATCTGAGTAATAAAGAATCAAATCTACAAACTGAGCAAAATAATGGTTCATCGCCGTCGGTCCTGAATGCCATCGAAAAATTGATCGAGAAGAGTTTCGATTCGCGTTCGCGGCAGAATCCAGGATTTCCGGGACATGGTCCACCACAGGCTCCCATGGGTTCGAGTATTTTGAAGAGGTTGGGTATCGATGAAAGTGTAGACTATACGAAACCCTTGGTTGATGCTCAGACCATGAGCTTACTGAGGAGTTACCATCAGCAACAAAGTCACCATTACAGTCGGAGAGAGAGGAGCGGCAGTGAATCGAGCTCAATATCTGAACGAGGCAGCAGTAGAGTGGATTCGTTGACGCCAGAAAGAAAAATGGAACCGCCTGGTATACCCTTGAATGCGACTCCTCGATCTACACCGGATATTAAAAGAGAGAAGTCGCCATTTGTCGAAAAATCTGGTCACGGGGACAGCGAAAATGATCAGGTAGTAGTAAAGAAAGAAATAGACGATGAAGAAAGACCCAAATCCAGAACCCGTTCTCCGGAGCAGGCCAAAATAAAAAAAGAGAGTGAGGAGAACGATGACGATGAACGACACAGTTTTCATAGCAATGGCGATATAAACAAGGATGAAGAGGAAGGAAAGCGCAGAAGCCACACTGCTAGTCCTCATGGTAATCAAGATCAGAATAGTCCCTCCCGAACCTCAGCCGATAGTCCAGCTAGCAGCGATCGATCGGGAACTCCGCGCAGTACCACGAGCGACCGAAAATCTGCAGGAGGTAGTTTGGGAGCTTTGAGTTCTATGTTTGATAATTTATCTGGTGCCAATTCCGGTAACGATGCTGCCTCGACGCCGAGCGGGAAGAAGGGTTCGAGCCATCCGCTTGCGGCCCTGCAAAAACTCTGCGACAAGACTGAAACGCATACAAATAATAGAAACCACCCTTCGGCAACCGTGACATCTTCAAATCCGGTGGTACTGAGCTCTACGCCTACTAATTCTGCGGGAACCACTCCTGGTGCCATTTTGGCTTTTAGTTGGGCGTGCAACGACGCGGTCATGACACCGGATTCAATTATGAAGTGCGCCTTTTGCGACACCCCATTCATTTCCAAAGGTGCCTACAGGCATCATTTATCCAAAATGCACTTCGTAAAAGATGGCGTAATTCCGGACCCGGTCTCGCTGAAAGCCGCTTCACAGGCAAGTACCGCGAACGTCGGAGTGCCGCTAAAAAGTACCGCCGTTTTACCTAGTGGTAATTCGAGTGCCTCGAGTTCAACGACCCCAAAGAGTCCCCCAGCACCTGGTGGTGCGTTCGAGGAAAGTCCCCACTCGAAATTTTTAAAGTATACCGAACTGGCCAAACAGCTGTCTAGTAAATACGTGTAAATAGTGTTGAGATAACATTCCTATTTTGTAAAAAAATATTGAATTAATTACGTAGTCTTGAAGGCGTACGTCCGCTTGTGAAGCGGGTATTTTGTGATGTTATCATATCCTAACAGAAAAAATAATAATCTGGTAGTAATACAAGAGAATTGTAGCATAGCGATATGAAGTTGTATATTCCCTTTCGGATTGTAAGAATCTCAAGTGATTATAATTGTTATACGAATTTTTTGAGTCAAACGTGAAACAATTGTGTATATATGTAACGTAAGTCAGTATTCGTAAGGATAAAGTTATTTTTCTCAGTGTGGTCAGTAATCAGACCAAAAAAGACATCCAGCACATTTTTCGTCGCGAAGTGTGTTCGTTCTGAAAACTGACGGAGAAAGATTATCTCAGTTTTTAGACGTAAACAGTAAAAATTGCAATTAGTTGTCGATTGAAAAAAGGTACATTTCAAGTATTAAAAAAAAACGTAGCGAGTAATGTATTTTCATTTTCGAGGATTCATCTTGTTTTCCCAACTCTCAAAACTTGAAGACACACACACACACACAAAACTAAGTATACGTATGTTGTAAACATTCTTCCATGAGAAAAGTTTTAAATAAATATTATCAAATATACTACTTGAATAATACAAAAAGATGTATACGCATTATTAGCTATTAAACAAAAAAAACGTGGCGAAGCTCTTTTTATGTTTATTGAAAATTTAAAAACTTATTTAATATTTTGTTGTATTTGATCTGCGAATGAAAGCTCAAATAAATATATGTTATAAAATTTGAAAAGCTTTTTCTTTATGCGACCCGTTCCATTGGAAAAAAAAGTACTATCGAATTTATTTGGCGGTATTTGTCAATGAAAGTAAGTATTTCGCTTTTTTATAAAAAGACGTTAAATATTCCGTTTGAAATCTAGCCTAAATGGAAGAGAATATATAAGCGACCAGCGAATAAAAAAAATTAATTCTTAAAAAAGTTACTATTGTAAATAATCGTTGCATTAAAAGGTAAGTATATTATTTTTATACTTAGAAATACTAAAAGGATGTCGAACTTCTATTGTTTTTATTTTTAACTTACACAACGTTCCGGACAGTTGTACCGTTATCAAGTGTAAACTAAACTTAATTCTAAGGCTACAAGGTTTATATACTAGGCGACGGCGCTCATCCATGACGGAGTCGGGTGTCGTCAAGCGTGGAGTTGTTCAACTAGAACGCCAGCATTTTTGCGCCTTATTAGAAGTTGCCAGATTGTTGGTATATCCACGCTTGGATTGCTGAAGACGTTTTCATTCTTTCTAATGAAAACTGCTTCTTTAAATTTGCGTTTTCTCGAATGCTGCTCTCTGTGAACAACCCGCGCTGGACCATTGGATGTTGAGTTGTTTGGTCCACACATGTTCTGCGATACCTGATTTTTGCGTTTCACCCTTCATTGTATGTTTCTTATGTTCTCCAACTCTTATTTTTGGAGGTCGTTTGGTTTCGCCAATATATGACTCTCCGCATTCACAGGGTATCTGGTAGATACTCTTTCACTTGAGTCGACGTTTCAGGCTTTGTTTTTTGTGAGTACACTTCTTAATGTTGATCCAGATTCAAATACAGTTTTAACTTGATATGGTTTAGCTATTCGCCTAATCTTTTTTGATATTCCCTTCACGTATGGTATCGTCCTATGGTTCCGGAGTTGTTTCCCGCTTACAGTTTGTTGTTATTTTGTTTATAGATTTTTCGGAGTAACCGTTCCGAAACAAATCTTTTTTAATATTATTCAATTCGGCATCGAGAGATGCTTGGTCGCTACATATTGTGATTGCTCTTTTGCACAGTGTTTAAATTATTCCTAGTTTGGTTGCTTCAGAATGGTTAGACTCAAAATTTAGAGAGTGTCCTGTGTGGGTAGGTTTCCTATATACAGTCGTGTTAACAGAACCATTATTTCTACTTACTAGGACATCTAGAAACGGTAATTAATGTTCGCAAAGAATTAAGATGATTGAGAAAAGAGTCTAGGTGTCTATCGGTTTGTACTGAATCGGTGTCTACCACCTTCAAGCAAACATGTTTATACTTATTGCACACTAGGAAACAAAATTAAGAACAGCATATGAAGAGAATATAGAGAAGTAATACTCGTTAATAGTATCAACTGTACAAAATCGGAGATTCTATTAAGAAAGACAAAATGAATTAAGATATATTTAATTACAGTTAATAAAAAAATGGATAAATGAAATGAATTATATATTAATTTCATAACCCATACTGCATTTTGAATACTTCTAAATCCGATAATGAATATAAGAATACGAAATCATTTGTTGCAATATAAAAACAGAAAATCTTCCGAGACGGTGTCTAATCCACTCATTAGCCTCCCCCCCCACCAACAATATATAAGCAGGTACAGAGTAAAATGCGAACCAGTTTCAGTCAAGCTCTGAAGAAGCCAACAGGATGATTGGCGAAACGTCAGGAAGTTACACTAAGCAAAAACCGACGCAGGAGGAATCCAGAAGTTTTGTAAAAAGCATTATAGTAGCCTGTAGAAGTTTCTTTGAAAAAAAAATCAAAAAATGGTCTCTAAAATCAGTTAGGCAAGAGGCAAATATAATTGCGCTAGTAGGTAAAGACAACAACTTAAAATACATGTTTCTATTAAGTAGCTTTTAATTTTCATGTTGGCTGCAAAATTTCACACAAGAAAAAAATGCGTTAATAGTTTAGTTTGCCCAAACTACTAGATTTCTAATTTTTCAAAGAAACTTCCGCAGTCTGTGAAACTTGTACACATCTTCTGGATTTCTCATGCGTCGGGTCTTGTGTGTTCTCCTGTTTCAGGCAGCGCTCTGAAGAAGCCTTTAGCGAAACTTCATCCAGACAGAGTCTTGATGGAGGCGAAATCCAGAAGATTTTTGTTATAACTATATCAATTCAATCTCAGCATTAGATAAATGTGCGAATTTCACCAACACTTTCAGCTTAGTCTTCGACCCTAGCAAAAGGGATTTTTTAATATTTATAAAGCATACAGTAATAGGAACATATAAAAAATGAGTAGCTGTTTGTCTACTCCGTATCCTGATGAGTAGTGCTCGGTTTACACACAAGATGCCGAAAAAGGTGCTTGCGGTAAATTATAGCGGCCATCTGCAAGTTGCGGCATATTTTAGCAGTAATTTGTCTTCGGCACGTCCCTTGTCACTCTTCTTTGTCGGAGACGATTACCGAAGACCTGTGGGGGATGGCTCCCCGAGAGCGCAAGAGAGACGACTGTAGTGGGGTCATCCGCATGTCTGTTTACTTATGACACTCATAAATGGTTTGTCACATCGTCTGCAAAACCGTGGGTCAGAGTAATCGTCGCTCGTATGTTATTGTTTTGTTTGAGGAGTTTTTGCTGGTTTTACAAGGAAGAAAAAAAGAGTTATGTTTTGGTTTGGGTTTTGACTGATATTGGGATCCGTCAGGCAACAATAAAAGAATAGCGTTTTATAAAGTGTATGGGATTCCTGCAAGTGGTGCATATCAGTCACATGCCTTCACAGGAGAGAGCGGTTGTAAATTTGTGCCAAAAAGTATTTAATATAAGAATGAAACAGAGATTGGTCCAGAAACACAATTCTTGCGTTGTGCATTATTTGTTACGCATTTGCAAATAACTTTAAATTTCAGCCAAGAAGCATTTAAAATTGAAAATGGTTTTAAAAAACGGACCCATATTCCATTCGTTTTAAGAAACGTCAAAAGAAAATAGTTTCTTAATTTTTAGAGTTATTCAGCAAAAATACTATCGCAAAAACTCCATGACATAGGTTTTTCCGATTTAAATACTTTCTTCTCTTCCGCAATTCCAATCCCAATCGCTAACTCTTGCAGTTGTCAAACAGCTACCCTCACTTTACTTGGCGGATGCGAGAAAGCATGGTATTTCATACCATTTTGTTGACTTATATTCGCGGTCGTGAAAATATGTCTATTTATGGTTGAGACGAAGTGATTTCAAAATGGATACGATCGCCAAATGCAGATTGGCAAACTAAGAGTAAACTATACAAATTTTATATTTTACATGTACTCACAAGACTGCTGCAATACATGATTTAAATTCGACTTTATCTCCTTTTTGAACAGACCATCTTCAACTCCAAGAGTAATCTCTGGACGCACTAATTGAGATAAGTTTTGCTTTCAAATTTTAGTCGCGTAAATGATGAACTCAAGTTAATATAATGATTTTGTTCAAACTGACCTCGTGTAACAAAACCTAAACCATACTTAGTAAAAGACGCTCGTGAAATCGGGGTTGTAAGCGTTTATTCGTTGCAAACTTGTCACATTAAACAAAAACACTTTGCTATTGTAAAAAAAATAACTATTTTGCAATGTTTAATGAAATATTAGCAAGGCATTTTGATAACGTATGTTGAGTTAAATTTCTAATTTTGCCTACGCTTTTGAATACTTAAAAATAGTATTCTGTGTATAGTGCATCGGTAAAAACACGGTAAAGAACCCGTCAGGTTATTTGCATCACATTCAAATGGAAATAATGCCATCCATCTCCATACCAGATGCCTCAAAGCTTCTTATTCCGGAAGGATTATTGTTGCTATTTACAAAAATAAATCTAATATAAAAAAATATTACAAAAATTTTTGTTTACAATAGGAATCCATACCCTTTAAATGAGTACAATAAGCTGATGCGGCATAGGTTATCGATATAAATATTCAAATTTCATATATCCTGACCTTGACTTCATAAAAATAATTAGATAAGTTTACTAAATTGCTCCATCTTAGTGCTAGGAAATTTAATTCAACGCAAAATACTTAAATAGGAATTAAAAATATACCTGTAGAGAGCAAAGGCAAGGCAAGGCAAAGGATATGTAAATTCTCATTTAGACTTTTATTAATCTATGCGGCAGAGACAAGATTAGATACGAAAAAGACCATGCAAATAACGCTCGTAGTGGAACTGAAAACAGTAATATGAGAAACGAAGACTTGACAGTCTGAAAATGATCCAGAAGAAGACCGTCGAGGAGGTGGAAAGAATAATGGACATCTCATCAGGAGAGGCTTTACAAGGATAACACAGGTGATGTGGGAAACCATATTGAAAGAACCAGAAGAAGAAGGAGAAGAAGAAGCTTCAACGTATGACCTGGTGTGCCCAATAAAAAAATTAAGCGTACTGGTCCCGTTGCTAATTGAAATTAGACTTCAGCTTGTTAAATGTCAAAATATCCGGCGCTTCATAGGCGCGACGCGCAATGCTTTCACCCAGAAATATCAATCAATGGCGACGCTCGAAACAAAGCTCTGAGCAAACCTTTATGCTTATCGCCAAAAATACGCTCTTAAAATAATTTCATATTATCATCATTACATAAAATAACATACAAATTTCTAAACTTTTTTATTTAAACGCCTTTCGTTTAATTATGAGAAATTTAAACCCTTTTTGGAAGAAAATCAATTTAAGGTTTTGTAAGGATGTCTGGGTTTCAAAAGTTATATTTTCTTGGCGGTCACAATGATACCGTTCGATCGTAGGGGTGGGTACGCGCATATTGACCCCCCGAGCGACCCGTATGAATTTGGGCCGCGATAGCCTCGGTTGCAAATCACCGTTAATGTTCCTTTCGGATGCCAGGCCGTGAGGCGTCGCGACGCTTAACGGCCGTTAAAAACGACGTCGGTCGCTGACAACGCTCTGATTAACTCTCCTTGTCGCTG